TGTCCGTGCTACCAAGAGAAGTCACACAGAACATTTATAAAGTATGTAAACAAAATTTTGAACTTTCTTTTACATCCTATGTAATTATTAACGATAAATTCTTTTCAATTAAATAGTTATAGCCATTTGTAATAGCTATATTCATTTTGAATCACACTACATATTCTTTCTGTCGGTTACCTTAGAATACTCACTAACGAAACTTAACATTTTAAACATGTTCTTTTATATTAATTTTGGTTATGTTGTAATAAGATTTGTATCAAATCTTTCAGAAAATGTGAATTTCTTTTTTAATTTCTTTAATGCTATTACTAAACAATTAATTTTGTTATTTCATTATAAACAATAGAATAACTCAACAACGAAATGTCGTAACTTTCTTTATATATTTACATGATACTTTTCAAAGAATCCTCCACAAATAACAGCAAATTAAACTGTAGGAATTATTTTAATTTTCTAATAGTAATTTTTAATTTTGAAACCCTTTACTTTAATTTCTTGTTTTCCACCTACAATTCCCTGCCAGAATAAATTTCCAGTATCGCATTTTATGCAAATAGGGTAGAACCAGTATTTAATGGGTAGTGCAGTCAACTTCCGTAGAAGAGCTCAGAAGATTTTCTTACTACGTTTGGCCGTACTCTTACATGCCCGCTAGTATTCGCCGGTGAGGTTTAATTACGGGCCAACTCGGTTAATTATTTTTGTACAGCTCCGGATAAGTTTTTAGTTAGAATTAGTTTTAGTTTCTTATTGTCTATCTTAAGTTAAAGCCCAAATGGAGACTTTCCTGTAAGCCTGAGAGTGGCCAACTGTAAAATAGTATTTCTTTGATTGAATAAAAGGGTATTTAAACCCTTTCTTGGACTTTGCCCTTATAGTTGTAAGAAGACCAGCGGGTAGTCCCTAGACTCTTCCCCAAGGTTCTATTTGCCAAGGACACTAAATTAATTGGAATTTTATTAGTTTCCCCATGCTATTCTAATGAGCTTTTAACTGATAAGACTGTTGCAACAAACTGTAGGTATAGCTCGACCGCCTCATCCACGACCATGAACGCAAACACGCATGCGCCATTCGGACCGAATTATTCTCAAAATAGGGTGGAAGGATGGGGGACTTTCTTTTCCTCTAGTATAGCTCTTTCCGGAGAACAGAAGACCTTTCACGTCGCAGCAAATAATCCCGCCCCTTTAGGACGAGTCCATGTGTTTTGGCAGAATGCCAAACCAGGGTTGCGCTTGAGACGGTCGAACTATAGTTGCGTTGCCTTCTATCTTCAATTAGTGGAATTTAGAAAGTTCGTTACAGTGAAACAAGAGCTATAGTGCAAATCAATGAGAGATAGTAAAGAATTACTAATGTCAATAGAATGATAATTTGCAGGCAAGTTTAGACTAAGTTATTCATTAATCCTATTAATTCATGTCTTGTTCAGCTGGATTGTTTATTATATAAAATTTTTTTGATACTTCTTGATGTGTCTGAAAATTGAATATTAATTACGGTAATTTCTTTCTTTAAATTATGTTACTAAATTCTCATAGTTAATTTGGCGTCATTTCTAATTATTCACCTGAGACAAGCTTAGAAATTCCTCCACAAAGGCATCTCATCATATTAAGACAGATAGCCCTAGAGTGCTTTGCCGTAATTAAATTTATTAGAAATAATCATAACAACATTGTTGCATTTCAGTCCATCCTTCTACCAATTAGAGAATGGCTCGGTTTCTCCAGAAGATCAACTTTTAGGTCACTTATCAGTAAAATTTCTTTGTTCAGTTCCTTAATACATTATCTTCGATTTCAATTTTGCAAAATTTATAGAATATCTTCTTAGTGTGGTTCGTTATACGTCGGCCAAATTAAAAGACCATGAAAATTTCGCGTCCCGGAACACGAATTTTATGTTCGAAAAGGAGAAATAAGTCTTCGATAGTCAATCATAGTCAGTCACTTAATCATAATTTTGACTTGGATTCTGAAAAATTACCCATTAAATATCATCAGTTAGTGAACTGGATTTTGAAGTTTTTTTCAGCCTTTTAGTTAATGACATTAATTCAATCCACAACCTTCCTGAATCTTTCAGAGTTCTAATATCTTAGTTTTCCATGCTTTATTATAATTTACCACGACAGATGGCACTACATTCATGTTCGCACTGCTTATTTCCGATATTCAATGGTCATCGCTCCTCTGTTATTTTGCCAAAAAGTACTTTACTCCTGAAGAAGATTGGCCTGACCATTTTCCAAATCGACTCAAAATCTACGCCAAATTAAAATTACGTTTTTGCCTAATTTTAAACATCCCCTTCAATTTACATTTGAAATTCTATCATTGGATTTCAAATACAGATAATACTAATTGCTTTTTGAAGTATATAGGCTCACAAGGGAGCAAGGAATACGGTTCCTAATCGTAGGGATATTGCAGTATATGTGGGTTTGGCTACTATATTTTAGAGACGAGTCATCTGCCATTTTGAATCCTCGGATCCCACGAATCTTGAATAAGATTCGATATTTAAAAAAAATCTTTGCGATTTCTTGCCATTTTAATGTTTTGAATCCTACTCTAAGATGCGATTAGAATTAATGAATTAAACGTTTTAACTTCATACTTTAGAAAGATTAATTTTAATGAAGTCCTGTAATTTTTGTCCTTAAAAATTAATGTGAATGCTTACAGTTTCAATGGATTTGGAATACCAGACGCCATCTTGTGGCGATCCTGAGCATAACATTATTAATTTTCTACAGAGATGGTTAATGTTCCACGTTTACACTTTATCTGTGCTAACTCTTCAAATTATGCTCTCCTCCCACGATGCTTCTTTTGATTTAAAAAATAATATAATTAAAAAAACTGAATTGCTACTCAAATATTTTTTACTAAATAATACTGAAAAATGAAGTTAAAGTTTCAACAGTTTTACTTCGTTTGCCAAATTTAATTTGTATCTTCTTAATAAGCACAAATGCATTTTTAAAACGGTATTCTTTTTATTACCGCATCTTTTATTTTTTTAATTACAACTTTTAATATTAAACAGTTTAAAAAAATGATTATTATTTTTATATGAAGGGTTGGTTTAAGACTAATGATTCACGAGATTTGAGAATTTTTTAGGTTTTTGGACTTCCTCGAATTTATTAGAGATATATTTCTCATTCAATTAATTCAGTTCTTACATTGAGGAAAAGCAAAAATACGTAAAACTCAAAATATCTTCATTAATAACTGTAAAATTTAAAAAAAAAAAAAAAGTAAAACACCATATACAGTTAAAACAGTTAAAAATAATTTTTACAGTTAAAATTAGAGTTTCTATGCAAAAACAAGCAATTAAGCCAGCGGGCAAGAAGGCAGATTTTTAGGTGCACAAAACTGAAAGTTTACTTTTGGTCCCATTCGGCAAAAAGACATTGAAGGTGCAGAAACCAACTTAATTCTCTATTCTGTTGCGCTTCAAATGTAAACAAATGGTCGCTCGTTAGGCTTAACTCGCCACTGAAAACTTTTAAATTGTTCCCAACTTTACAACTATTGCAAGCAGATTGACTAAAGGCATAAGAACCTTAACCGAAACATAAAAAAACCACATAATTCAATCACTTTTAAAGCGAAAAATGCACAATTTACCAACATACAAGAATAAAAAAAAAACTAAGCTCACCGATGTATATATCTGAGATTGGTGCAGTCGAGTGCTACGAAAAAGGGAGGTGCCCAACTACATGTTATATATAGCAGTCTCATATTCAAAATTTCAACGTTCTACGGCTGCTCTTTCTTAAATTATGCGAGATACATACATATTTACGTACTTACGTACACATGTAAAAAAAAAAAAAAACTCTTCTTAATCCATTTTACAATCCTTTTTTGGCAAAAAGAGTGGATTATTCTGTCTCTACGTACAGATCTCATGCAAAAACATCGTTTAAATGGTTTCGAGGGTAGTTGAAATAGGTATTTTCGTTTAAATATGATACCCGAATTTTTTGCGATTACAATACTACCTTTACTTCGTACAAGGAAGTAAAAAGTACATATTCGTTATAATTTCATACACGTTCATATATGTTCATACATGTTTTTGCATTCGTATACTTTCTGAATACGTATTCGTTTATGTATACGTATTCATATACGTTATAAATTGATTTAGTCCTTAATTAAATTTCCAATCCGATATAAATTCAGAGCAGAAACAGGGGTCAAAAGCTGTGTAAAAACGCGAAGAATATGGTTTATTTTCGCCTTGAAAATGTATTTTGTCAGCAAGTGCAAGTAAGTTTAATAACCGAAGTGATCCTAATGTAAAAATATTATACATCTTCTGCTCCATCTATAAACATTTTACGATGGTCATTCGATGAATAAGAAGTAACTATATGCCATTTAGACCAATGAATATCAACAAAATTCTCTTAGGCACAATTTAATAATAAAAGCAATGTACAGAAAATAAACTCTCACTCAAGGAGAAAGCAACAAAAGTTCAGAAGCGTAGTCAATAAATTTAATTGAGCAAATACAAAGTATGAGCTCTTATGTATTTTAGAGTGCAGATTCTTTATGGATTGGATCATCGAAAACAAACCTTTAGAACAGCGAAAAACATTATGGCTCTTAGTACATTGATTTTAAGTGAATTTAACACTAAAATAAAATGGAATTATGGCGAGCCATTTCAAAGAGAAATATAAATGTTGCTGCTTTGTATCAACAATTATTTTTCTTCTCGTTCGTTATTTTTGAGCTCTTTTTTAAACCTCACCTCTTTATTTGTTGAAATTATATTTACTTTAATGATATCCAAATAGCATGCGCTTTGCTCAGAAGTATCAATGTAAAGTTGTTTAATCAAAGGCAGTTGTTAGAAGCAGTTGTTTTTCCATACGAATATTCTAGTTCAACAACTGTACAGCAAAGGAAAGATTTATGGTAATGCGGTTCGTTCTCGATAACGTTTAAGTCTTCTCTCAAGTCGAAAAAGAAGTAAGTTTTACTAATAATTTTCTATATTAAGTAAAATATAATTGGTTAATAAAATACATAAACAAGTATCAGCATTTGATTATTTTATGCAGTGACAGCCCTTTTTAAGAGGACTTCTCTGAAATGAAAGGAATATATTAAAATAGTAATAAATAGAAACCAGCCATTTCCCGTACTTATTAATCTCATTTCTTCCAGTTTTGTTACTTTACGATGAGATATTTCATCACTAAAGTTTTTAATACAGTCAGAATTTTTTAAACTGGTTTTTTATTGCTATTAGAGTTTTTTTAATTTTATGTTTAGAAGTTAGAGAGGTCGATGTTTATGTAAAAGGCAGTCTATCGTTTTATTTATTTATTGTTTAGATGGTAGGACTAAAATTGGCTGTTATTTTAACTATTCTTTTTTCTTCCCATTTTATCGCGAATATGTAAGCTTATGACTTTTTTACGAAGCTATTATTATTGAATTATGAAACTACTGAAATTTATATTACGTGCATTTTTTTCCCTCCTCGTGTACGCAGCGGTCAATTTTCATTAAAAAAAATCAGAGAATTGTACAAACTCGGCATCGGGCACAATATCGGCATTGCGCACATTAAACAAAACATGTATGCATTAATGTTTTTCCTTCCAATGTGCGCAATAATCTGTTTTCGTTTAAAAACGTCATAAAATTGCACAGTTTCGGCATTGCGCATATTAAACAATATATATATATATATATATATATATATAAAATACGATGGCTTTGCTGTTTGCGAAACAGCAACCTTTAATTAATTTTCTGCAATTCAGGATCTTCCCCTAAACCAGTACCTTCTAGAACATTCGCACCTATTACATAACTTCCTCATATAAATGCTGCGTCATAAGTTTTTCTACATTTTTTCTAGAAGCTACTCTGTTACATAACCTTTCATATAATGCTGCGTCATCAGTTCATGCCTTCTCGCCTTCGTCCTGCTAACGCTTCCACTATGCTCCTCTTTCCTCTTTCTTTTAGAACGTTATGACGTATTAAAGTTTAAAGTTCAAGTCGTATCTAATTGTTCAATTACTGAATAAGTTCTTTGATTAACTCCATCTGGAAAAAAGTCATCTGCTATAAAATTAAAATAAAGATATGTTTGCTGTTAAAAGTGAAAGTTAAGAAGTCGTCATTTTTCTCCGTATGCTTCAAACATCTCAGCTTCGTCAACCATCTGCCAGAACGTATAATGGGGATAGCCTGACCATTTGCCCACGATGTATTGTAATAAATGAAAACATTACATACATATATATATATATATATATATATATATATCCTGATAAAAAAATATATATATATACATGTTGTTCTGTCGTGTGTACAGGATCTGTCTTCGCTTAGAAAAAAATCAGAGAAATGCACAAACTCGGCGTCACCCACAGTCTCAGCATTGCGCACATTAAATATTAGATAGATTATACGATATATTACTGTTGCATTACTATTGATACATTACTGTTACATTACATTAAGTCCGGTTATCAAAAACCAAAAGGGCCCACCAGCGGCCAAGCGGTAAAGACGCTGAACACTGGTAGTTCGGTCTGAGGTTCGAATCCCGCGAACGGGCTGGCTGCATGGGCGTTTTCGTGGTTTTCCCCATGTGTAGTGTATACGAGCCAGTTTCCCTTAGTCCTCCACGAAGGCATTCCTCCCTTTAGTCAGATAGCCCTCGTGTGCTTTGCCATAATTGAATAGTCCCAAAAAATAAAATGTTGTCAAAATAAAATGAGTACAAAACAACGAAAAAGTAGGATTTCGAGGATAAAATAATTATGTAAAACGGAATGTGTGAGATTTGGCGTGCTCTTTATTCTCCATTTTAACCATTTTAAATTCCAGTTATTTCATAATTCAGTAATAATAGTTTCGTAAAATAAAAACTCAGTAGCTTCTCCATTCGTAAGTGCGATAAATTACAGGAAAAAGAAATGATTAAAACAATCGGACCATTTAAAAAATAAATAAATGAATGAATGAGTAGATCGCATACTACATAATTACCAAAACGTTTTTAGCAAAATCTTTATAAAATTTATGAACTGTTACGTTACCATAAATGTAACATCTTGTAGATTTGTCAAATGTTGTCACTGCGCGAAACATAGGGTCTTTATCTTTCATGGTCTTGCATTTAACAAGCTCTCATGTTAAAGATGTCTTGCATTTAACAAGCTCTCATGTTAAAGATGTCTTGCATTTAACAAGCCCTCATGTTTCATGAAGACTGTTGCCATTCGGAAAAGATAAGATGTTTGGTTTATTTTTCGAATCAAATAATTGTTTTTTCTTAACAAATGGAATTACTTAAACGCGTATTTCTAAATAAGATAGATCTTTATAGTATACATTAATTATATATCTAACAGATATGTATTAAGATGTATTTCCTTTTTATTATTAATAACATTCTTAATAAATTCTTTTGCATCTGACGTACAACACTGTGCGTTTTCCCCAGCTTTTCTATAGAAGACTGGTGACCTTGAAAGTAAAAGGTGTAATAAAAGTAAAATTTTTATCAAAGTTCTTTTGCAACTACCAATGCCCATTCTTCTGTATCTGTTTTACACAAAAATTTAAAAAAGAAATCGCAAAATGGACAAACTTCTTCTACTTCGATACGGTGCCAAAAAGGATGGATAGTAAAACATTTCCATTATTTCCCTACTAAAATTCAGCCTAACTAGGATTTGTTGGATTATTCAAGAAGAAGTACATTTCAACTGTAAACTGTAGGACATTTAGACTTAGACAGTTCTATATTACCGAGCTATTGCAGGTGCAACGTTGCCGGTTCCTTAAATTAAGCCCAAGGGCACATAACATAATAAATTCAGGAAATGGAAAACATCTCGGATGAGAAAACTGAGAACGGAAAAGTGAGAGGGGTACCAAAAGGAAAAAGGCCAAAGGGCATCTAGCAGGTGAACGGAACTTGACAAGATGAAGAAAATCCAAACGGATCCTTCACAATTCAGAGAAACGACAAATGCAAAACATGGCTCAAAATGCTATACAACAATAGCAAAAGTTCAATACTACTATAAAACTACACAAATTCAACACATACAACAGAAAATCAATACACAACGACTATTACAACATCACACTAGCAATCCAAACAACTTCGAGTACAGCACTGTCTTTATCAGATAAAATGAAAGAAATTATGCGGTAATACAATTTTTTGTTATAATATAATTATTTTATATTTGTACTGGTGAACAAGGTAGAAAATGATATACTGTTTGACTTCCTGTGCTAAGGTCATCTGTTGAGGATTTTTAAAAACGCCACAACACTAAATATATTATTATTGTTATTTTTATGAAAATTATGAAACTGTGGTAAATCTTAGAATTCATGACTAGATTCTAATAATATAGGACTTAATATTTACCAGCAACTGGAACACTAATTTCTAAATTTCTAGCAAAATATTTAAAATTTTGCACTTTTAAAAGAAGTGTAAATAAATATTAGAGTTAAATAATCAAGCGTACATTTGTACTGCAAATTAAAAAGAAATGTAAGTCATTAATGATTAAAAATGTATTTATTATTCTTTTGAATGTAAGACGATGTTTTTTGGGGACGAAAATGCTTTTCTGGGAACTGTAAATGCCTTACACAAAGCCTGATATTTCCGAATGTATTAAAATTATTTATTACTTATTGTTTAACTTGTAAATTTGAAGAAAGAATATTTAAGCTAGTTCCTAGATTACCATATACAGCTGTATATTTTACTCTGCCAAAAATATCGCGAAGTAAACAAACTGTAAGGAAAGGATTGTTTCCATTGGTGAAAAAAAAATATTTTTAGACCAAAGGGCGTTATTCCAGAAGTACTATTAATTTCGTTTTGGCATTTTGTGGCGTTTCACTATAAATGGCGTTCCACTTTTCAAATTGTTGCCACCAAATATTATCGTCCTGTATTATATTTAAAGAAATTAAGTAATGAAGAATCTGCATAAATGTATGTAAGTTTCTTGCATTGTGATAAAACAACGGTATCTAGAGCCACCAAATTTTGAATAGTATACGTCTCCACCCGAATATGGGCATTTGGAAGACGAACTTGTGAATCTGTTTTATTACCTATATCATATTTATTAAAGCATTTATGAGTTTTTGGTTAAGAAACTCAACGATTTCAAAGCGAGCAATGGCATCACTGTAAAAAAAAATCTTTCAGGGCGCGAGATTTTGTATTGGAAATTTTAAAGATATGCTCTTCTTAAATTATTTTGAGATATTGCTGTTGAACTGAAGTTTATGGTTTAGATGCGAAGAACATGATATTTAATAGTAAATAAAGGCAGCACGCAAAGCGTTCAATAAAAGCCCCTTTATTCGTAATGTAAAATCTGAAAACTTTCAGATAATTTTTCTTAATAGTTTTCTTAAATATAACAACTTACTTTAAAATAAATGTATATAAATAAAGAAGAATGTCCGTACGTAATGAACTTTTGTTTAAAAACTCAGCAATATGAACTTTTTGTGCTGCCACTCAGCAAAAGGGAAGATACTTATGTTTCAAATTTAATCATAAACTCAACGATATGGAAGAAGTTTACAGCCAATCGCAATATATTTGTCTTTCGAATTTAATAAACAGACTCAGGGATTTAAGAGAAATGTGTTGCCACTGCCTGAATTAAAATATTTTTTTATCTTTCATGCATCTATGTTTTATCGTTCATCAATTGCGAAAGACATTTAATTTTTCTTTCATGTTTGTTCTGTTATTAGATAATAACCTAAGTGATTTAAAAGCAATAAACGCAGATTCATATTAGTTATTATTAATTGCTAACAGATTCCGTGAAATTAATTACCCTATCCGGATTCATTAAAAATCATCTATACATATGATGAAGTGTGTCTGTTTGTTTGTTAGTGCATGTATAATTCATACAGATCTACAGTTTTATTCAGATTTGATTAAG